CCCTGGCACACAACTGAACAATGGTGGTCCTCTAGGATTTAGTGTAAACATAGTTTGGTAGGAAAGATAATTGCTAAGGTTTGCTTTAGTACTAGAAGGTTAATGCATCAGTATGCATATTAAAGAAAAAATTACTTTTTTTGTGATCCAGAACCTACCTTGGTTCTGAAGTCTAAAGTGCTGTGATTGCCCGCTTAGAGTGGTCCTCTACTGTGTTGTGCTAGACAGACATTGGCCTCAGTGGGCGCTAGTCCACCTGTAAGTCACTCTGACCTCTCTAGATAACTTAGTGTGCTTGGAACTGGAAACATTCTCATCCAGTGTGAAGTGTGGAACATGTGTTTGGGAAACAAGGGTTTCATTAGGCAGACATGGACACTGGAGTCACAGATATGGAGTTTTCATAGACAGAGTCTTTGTCTACTATCGGGGACAAACACAAAAAATATGTATATAAACTAGTAGTAAGTGATGATGGTCTTCCAAGAAATCAAGCAGAGATAAATATGTAATTTATGAGTGTATCTTCTGTTTTGGACTAACAGCCTCAATTAACATGGCTTCCATTCATCTAAATCTATTCTACTGAGTAGTATTTTATATTGCATGTTTTTTTTTTTTTTTTTTTTTGTAGAATGACATGTTCGGTAATTTCAGGGTGCACCATTTTTTTCTGCTTTGAAAGTCTGAGAATTAATAGCTTACATATCATGCTCTATAAACAATTGGTTTTATAGTATGGACTGCAATTTTGTCCTTTCTTTTCTACAAATGTTTTTTCAGACACTACCTTTATTTTATTTTAGATTATGTTAATTTTTTAGCAACTTGTAATTTAATTTTTGGTTCTAGATGCCACATAATTATCATGAGTTTCCAAGAAGTCAAAAAAAAAATTGTTGGGAAAACTTTAATTTTTCTTATTTGAAGAGAAACCTTAAAACGAGGGAGATGATTTAGAATTTCCATAATTTATAATAAGTTGTTTCCCAAAACAGCAATTTTTAAAACTTTATTTTATAAATAAATTTTATTTTAATAATATAGTATGTACATAATTTTACTAGGTAATTATCTTAAAACTATATCAATAATATGAATAATGGCATATTAAAAATAAATTGAAATTGAAGTCAAATATTTTCAACATTTTTATTTTTTTAAGGTTAAGCTATTTTCTTGATATGTTATGATTATAAAAACAGGTGCTTTTCAAAAAATTATTTCTAGTATTTTCTATATCAAGAATTCATCTATAATTTAGAATTATAAATGTAAAAAAGATATACTATCTAATTGATGAACATTAGGATATTTCACCACTTGCAATTTCATTATTTAGGATTTTCAACTTTTTGAAGGCATATAGTAATATGCATTTAGTAGAATATATCTTCCAATTTTGATTTTTGATCTTTTTCTGAGCTAATGATATGGATGTGATAATCTGCAGTGTACTGTGTGACTGAGCTGTAATAGGTTGGGTTATCAAATGCATTTTGAGTTTACAATGGGTTTTCAATCTTTTCCTATATTTAACTGTACTTTTATTTGAAAATGGTAGTATAATAATTAGAAAATAGAATATTTTATACAGTTTTACTCCACTTGCTTTAGGAAAAAAATGGAATTATGTTTAAAATTTATTTGGGTGTATATGGATTTGATTTGGGGACAGATAGTTATTTTGTATCTACCACTTTACAAGAATAATTAGAATAGAATGTATTCATTTTTCTTGTTGCCAAAATGAGAGCCCCAGGATAAACTGTCCTGTGCCACAGTATTATGAACCATAGTGGCATTACCATCTTCCATTTCTCTGAGAACTTGGTTATTTAAATTTATATTTTCATTAATGCATGAATAATCATGAATAAATTATTTTACTCCAATATGTAGTTAAAACTATAAATAAAACTTTAAAAACAAAATCATTCTGTTTCAAATATTTTTATTAATACACAGGTAACAGTTTTAAAGTACTGACTTATTATCTCTGAATGTTTTTACTTAGAATCCTGGGATACTATAAATTGTTCAAAAATATGACATTAAGCAGTTATAAAGAGGCTGTCTGCAGGTGGGTGCAGTGGTGCAGGCCTGTAATCCCAGCGGCTCAAGAGACAGAGGCTGAAGTAGCATGAGTTTGAGGCCAGAATAGGTGTTACCACTGTTGACCGGTGACAAGTCCTTGCTTCCCCGATGTTGAAGAATAACACCAAAGAAGCACACCAAGGCAAGGTCAGAGTAGAGATTAGAAATTTATTAAAGGACAGAAGAAAAGACTTCTCCCGGAGGAAGAAGGGGACCCAGGAGGTGGAATCCGTGGAAGTGCGGTTGTTTCCCCTTTTTATAGTTTTAGTGATGGAATGTAGATTGGAGGGCCCGAGGGGTGGGACACAGGTGGGCCAAAGAAGTAATCTGGTCAGGAAGGACTTCATTATCACTTCTTTGAGGTGGACTTTGGCCTAGGGCCTCTTCAGGACTTCATTAACATTCCATGAGTTGTCCTGTTTTCCCTGAGTCATTCCCAGCATGGCCTCCATTTTAGATTTCACTCCATATTAGACCCGATTTACCTAACTACACTGACTACCTAACTTTAAATCTGGCTTCATAGGCACCTTAGGCAACACAAAAAGACCTTGCCTTAAGATAAACAAAAGAGTAAAATGAAAGGTGCAGCTGAAAGGTAATGATGGTATTGTTTGAATAAGAGGAATATGACTTATTAGTATTTTCAATTTTAATCATGTTAGCTCTTTAATAATTCACTATCATTAATGCTTTATTACATTTTATTATCTCATTATTACAATTTAATATATTAGAAAAAGTCTAGAAATAATTTCTTATGACAATATAATAATTATTCAAACATATTTCATGCACTCTTTATTGTTATTTTTAGAATATTCTAAGTTGTTGGTATATTTCAGTTCTTATTCATTCTACCTCTCTAGGTGTTAATATGTTCTTTAACTTTCTGTGTATTTTATATTTTGTCCATTTCAATGACTCCTATACCCTTGGATAATATGCAAGAACTGGTAGAAAAATATATATATATTATATACATAATATATATATATTAGTAATAATAATGGTATACAATACCAGTGCTGTAAACTATTTAAGGATAAAGATTGCAAGGTTCCTATCTATGAGTTCACTACTAGAGAAAACACAAAAGGAGACAACAAAGGAAGGGATGGGGGGGGCAAGTAAGTCAACAACAACAACAAAAAAGTAGGTGAAAATAGTCTGTACTTAGTTTGATGTGAGTGTAGACCCTATGGTTTTGTGTTTTTTTCTATATAAAACAAAAGCAACGATAACAAACACAATATAACAGCTCTAGATAGGTAAATAAGGCTGATGGTTTAGGACATACTCTGCCAGGAACTCTGCTGAGGGTGGTCTAGTAGAATAAAATTCCTGTGGTCAACATCTTCACTTACCCATGCCATCTACCAGGCAATGCCTGTCTACATTACCAATTTTCAAATTTCCCAAATGATTATTATTTATTTTTATCATTCTAGGGATTGAACTCAGGGACACTTAACCACTGAATCACATTCCCAGTACCTTTTTTATTTTTATTTTTTGAGACAGGCTCTTGCTAAATTGCTTAGGGCTCTGATAAGTTGCTGAGGCTGGCTTTAATCTTATGATCCTCTTGTCTCAGCCCCTGGAGTTGCTGGAATTAAGAGGTGTGCACCACTCTGACTGATTTCAAAAATGATTATTCAGACCAATTTTGGTTTGGGGATTAAAAAAAAATAAAATTTAAAAGCAGGAGAGTACACTCAGGTGTTCACATAAAATATTAATTGAACTTTATAAGTCTTTATAACAAGCTACAAGAACTAGCAAAAAGTATGGTTCCACTAGCATTCATTATTATCTCTTTTAAGAATCAATTCTTTCTATTTATATTTCCAAATTTCTGATTTTAGCTCAAGGTGTGCTAGGAGTTTTAGAGATTTTTAGCAAGGTCATCATGGGCTGGGGGAGGGGTGGGGACTTTGAAATGATTAGTACCATGTAGCAAGGATAGGGTTCTGTATATAATCCTTTATGAAACTGGGGCATTTTCTTTTTTTAAACATTTTAAATGATAAATATATTGCCTGTCGGTCTGTAATAATAGATCAGACATTTGATAGTACCCAATTGTGTCTTCTCTCTCTACTGAATTGCCTCAGGAACACAAAAGGAGACAACAAAGGAAGGGATGGGGGGGGCAAGTAAGTCAACAACAACAACAAAAAAGTAGGTGAAAATAGTCTGTACTTAGTTTGATGTGAGTGTAGACCCTATAGATTTAGCATTGTTTCTATATAAATCAAATGGAAAGTGACAATTGATTTTCTATTAGCAAATGCATGTTTGAACAAAGACTTTGTGTCATCTATGTCATTTAACTAAAAGTGATATTCATTTTTATTTTGTTTCCAGTTTATTTCCACGATATAGCACAAGAAGAAATGCTTCCTCTGAAGATTTATTTTAACTTCTTATAAAATGTTGTTCATTAAATTGTCTTAAAGTAAATGTTGTGCGGTAGTTGAGATCCTGGCTGGAAGTATTTAAAATATACTTTTTGTGTCTAGAGTTGAATTTCCATTTTATCTATTCCCTTGTCTATTAAAATAAATTGAAAAGCATATGATTTTAAATTACAAAATACAGAAAATTTCTCTCTACAATCGTTGATAGACAATCACTGAACATAGTTTGGAAACAGGCTTTGATTTTTCATAAATAAAAAAAAAAACTGTTAAATATTTTTTAACATGATGAAATTTGGAGTAATTATGATAGTCAATTAAAATTGGTGTTTCATATGCAATGATTTAATTGCATATTTAATTGCATCTAGATAGAATATTATTATAATTAATATACTAAATATCAACCCTCATAAAATTTGGGGGATCTTACATTATCCTTGCTATACTCATTTATTTATTTGTTATTTATCATTTCAGATTAAAAAAATCAACAGAAACTTTCCTGTAAACCAGCAGGTAAGAGGAAGTAATATTTCAAAATGTAAATCATGTATATCTTTCATTATGTCATTCATACAAGATAACCTTAATGCCATCTGATTTTTACACAAAACAATTAGTAATATCATTTCTACCTTCTGGGAAAATGTAAAGTTGAACACTTATTTGATGATATGTGTGTTTTTTCACATTAAAAAATGTGTTTTAGAACTTGTATCTGCATAAACTAAGGCAAAATTATGTTTTGACAAAATAATCAAATTTATCTATATACAGTGTTGAGGAACTTGAAGGACTATTTCCAAAAGATAGTTTTAGTACATATTTATTTTTGGAAAACATATTTAAGTTTGATCTCAGAGTTCAAAGGATTCTCACAAACTGTTGACAGTATTTCAAATGAGTCCAAATTAATTCAGTTTAAAAATAGTGTCTGATTGATCAAAGCTTTATAAACTTATTATTCTGGACATCAATTTTGATTTGAAAACATTGATCAAAGTAGAAATTTCTAAGACAGCTATGTTTACATGGTAAGATTAATTAAAATCTATTTGCAACTCACCAATCAATTTCAATGTAAAAATTTTCAACTTTTAAAAAGTGAAGTTCATATCTAAATTTCAGTTCACTTCTCTGTGACATTTGCATGGGTAATTATCTTTCAAGTTTATTTTAAGGATTAAATGATAAACACATTTAAGTGATCAATAAATGCTATTATTCTCATTAGTGTTTTCTAATTTCTAAATTTGTTCTTTGGTATACAGAATTTATGTCTTGTAGAAATTATGCTCTTATTGCTATTGGGAGCTTAGGCTAGCTCTGAAACCTTGTGTAACTGTAAAAGATCTATGAGATCCTTCCTTTCTTGGAGACCCAACACCTGAGCTTAATTAATATTTTGGACAGGTGCCAATGTTGGAGGGATAGATATCTCACCACTTTTCCCATGAAGATGTGATTGTATTCTGGGAGCTTATTTACAGTGCAGGGACCAGAGCTCAAGCCAGAGCCTCTGACTCATCAACTCTGAAGATACCCAAAAACCCCTCTCTGTAGCTATAGTCATGTTCCAGGTGACTGATGCAGGTAATGCCCAGTGACATCTTGAGAACAGCAATTTAATGATTTCACAAAGCTCTGATAGTGGGCCAATACCATTAATGAGAAGTTATTCAAATAAAAAGAAGCATCAACTATGGGAAAAGATTGTAATGCGCATCAGATGATGCAACAGTTTTATAGTCAGATATTTTAAAACGAAGAACTATGTTTTTTGTGAATTCTTGCCAAAAATAGAAATGACAGATGTTTCTTTGATTTAAGAATGACTTTAAGGTCTATATTATCACCCTTAGTTGCTCTTTTTAACCTTGACATGTGAAATATTAATAATAGGTGTGATTTATTTTACTATGAGTGTTTTATAGCTCTGGTAAACCCACAGCCACTTTGTATATACAATGACAACCACATGTTAACACATTTTACTAAGGCACAATAAAATTTTTAAAGGGTTTATTTGACTAAAAAGCAATTCATGAATTGGGTAATATTAAATTGCAAGAGATTTAGTGTTCACATGACAAAATTTCAGGAGCAAGTCTTTATGAGCAGAAATGCAGTAGGAAAGTAAATGATTCATTTGGGCACATTGATAGCACTGCCTTATTGGGTCTATCCTATTGGAAAGTCCCCAGTTACTTGAGTCTTTTAGGCTAGTTATAATTGGTTTATCTTAAGTTTTGTTTTTCTTCAATATAGAATTTTATAAGAAACAGATCAAGTCACTTGATTTATGTTTGCAAATCAAGCAGGGGGAGCTGAGTGCTTTTCTACTGAGAGATTCTTCAGGTACTAGTCATTTTATTTCAATACTGTATAGTTAGCTCACTGTCTAGTAAAAATTCCTGTTACTTCTGCTTTTATCCAGATTTAGAGTGATACTGTGTGAGCTGAATGAGAATCTGAATGAAAATTGCATATAGAACAAATAACAAAGTGGTTTAATATTCTCACACCCATTATACATATATAATATTCCAACAAATATTTATATGTAATAAGCACAGGTGTGGATTCATATGCATATTAGTTTATTTTTCATTACTATAACAAAATACATAGTGTTATTACTATAATTACTGTAACAAAATGGGTTGTGTACAGCAAGAGTTTCAGTTATCTCACAGTTTGAAAGCTGAAAGTCCATGACTGTTTGGCTCCATTGATTCAGTCATTGGTGAGGTCCTTGGTCGCATGATACTGTGGCAGATAGTATCACAGCAGGAACAAGTTCCAGGGGGAGAGATCACATAGCAAGACTAGAAGCCAGAGAAAGATTCAGAGTCCAGCTTGCTGTTTTATGATATTCTCATGAGTATTAATCAGGGTCCAAAATGTACTATATTAATTCCTTCAGAAGACAGCACTCCCAATGACTTAATTACTTCCTGTTAGGCTCCACCTCTTAAAAGCTCCACCACTACACTGAAAATTATGTTCTCCATTAATGAATTCTTTGTGGACATACTTATATTCTATAAGTAAGAGCAGGCTTAATAAAGTTTGTTTTTTATTTTAATATTATTAATTATACTGAAATTTAATCTTTAACCTTAGCATCTCACAATTTTGAAAAAAATCATAATGAATTATTTTTGACATGTTAAAAAGCCCAAAGAAGAGTTAAATGGATTTTTTATTCACTACTTTCCACTGTATAAATGAAGAATTTTGGGAAATAAAATTAGTTTATAGTTCAACATTCATATATATTCATGACAGGAAAAACTCACCTGCAAAAATGTGATAGTAATATTTGGGAAAGTGGGGTATAGTCCTTGCTTAATAAAATGTGAACCACCTAAAGAATTGGGATTAAAAAAATGTATAATCCTATTTCTGATCCAGATTTAGTCTTCAAACACAGCTTTTGCCTTGGAATTAGCACATTTGGTGGCTTTCATTACAAAGTTTTTCCTAACAATTTTCATATGAATTTCTAAAAGTTAGCTTATATATAAATATGCACATATCTGCTTATATGCCTATACATAGCTTTTGATTAAGTAATACAAAATGTTACAATAATTGTTATAAAGAGATGTGCAATGAAAAGTTCCTTTACAATCCTGAGATTCTGTTATAAGTACCAAATAGGGGGAAAAAAATGAAGATGTATGATTATTCCTCTGCTTTCTATGAGATTTGGGTTTGAATGTATGCTCAGCAGGTGACCTTTACCACAACCTATGTTAAGTTAAAATAAAGCAAAACATAAAAGGAACTAAACAAAGTCACTGCTGACCATTAAAAGGCAGTACTGAGCACCAATACTGTGGGGACCCTCCCTCAGATCAGAATACATGAGCTTCCAGTGAAACTACTCTCATGGAACAATAGGTCTGCAAACAAATTATAAACCACTTGAGGAAATAGTCCATGACCAGGAAAAACATCATGTAGAGATTAAAGAAAAATTCAAAAGATTTTTTAATTCCTTTTTTTTTAGTTGTATATGACAGTAGAGTATATTTTATACAAGCCTAGAGTATGTCTTATTATAATTAGGATCTCAGTCTTGTGATTGTACGGGATGTGGAGATTCACTGTGGTGTACTGATATATGTACATAGCAAAATAGCAAAGTTGTTTTCATCCCATTATTTTTTCCTATTTCCTGTCCCCCTTCCATTCCCTTCATTCCTCTTTGTCCAATCTACTGATCTGTTTTTCCCCTTCTTCCTTGTTTTCTGTTAAAATCCACATATTGGAGAGAAGAAAAATTGCTTTTTTTTTTAATAAAGGTATACAAATTGTAAGACATGGGCTCTAAAATGTACATCTGTAAAAGAACCATGAAGAAATTTAAAAATGGGGAGGGGGAGTTGCTTAAATTAATATCTATTAACCAACTGACCAAATTTGATTATGTGTCCACTGAAAATTCTCGTAGTGTATTTCTGAGTTCACTTTATTAGCATTTTAAAAATGTCTTTATGCATCTGGGATACATCATCTGATTTCTCTATTAAAAGTTTAATCAGATTCATTTATACGGTGAATATACTGAAATTCAGCTTCTGCTGATAACTATTTATTGAAAAGCATGGAAGGGGACAGACAGAGGTCTTGCTGTTAAAGTAAGCAGTGATAGTCCATGACTGTAAATTCTTATCATGATAGTTTTCTCAAAGTTTTAGAGATCAGTGTATACAGGTCTAGATAACCAAATTTATATCACGTATGGTATGAACCATCATTTTTCATATTTTATTGCATTTATCACTTTTACTCATTCTCACTAAAGTCTCTCTAGCCTGAAATCTACCTTTCAAAACTAGAATTTCAATTAGCTTCTAAATAATTAATCAATCATTAAAATATTAACCTCAAGTGCTCTTATTCTAGACATTTTATTATATAATTGTCATTTGTAATAGTTGAAAAAAATAAAGAGATGTAGAAAAAGAATATTATCTCAGATATCTAATCATAAGGAAATATTTATGTTTGACTCTGCCTAATGTGGAGAATTTAAATATAAACATATAAAGCTGGAAGACAGAAGGATAAAAGATGGCTCAATGTCTCAAAATGTGTTGGAGAGGAGTAAGAAATTAAAGGTCACAGAAAAATCTATTTGAAGCAGCAAAGAAGAAAGAGGATTAAGGAACTCCAAAAGTTAGCTTTTCCAGCCAGTCATGATGAAACATACCTGGTATCCTAGTTACTCTAAATTCTGAGGCAGAGGAATGGCAAGTCCCAGGCTAGCCTGAGCAAATTAGCAAGACCCTATGTCAGAATTTTATAAAAGGGCATAACTCAGCAATAGAATGCTTCCCCAGCATGGATAAAGCCCTGGATTTAATTTCTAATACATCCCCTCTCCAAGATAGCTTCTCCAGAAAAGAAAAATATTGGTGAAAATACTCCAAATCAGCTTTTCTCAAATAAAGCTACTCACCAAAAGCCTTCTGAACACAGGGAGCAATTTTTCAGTTTACCAG